GGATGAGGACCAGGACACCCCTCCTGCGCGTGCGCAGCGCCGCTGACTCATGCGCCCTGGCGCTGGGCGGAGTTGGGGGAGTGTGGGGCGGCGGGCTCGGAGGCTGGGGCGTCCTCGCCGAGGGTTCCTGGAGAGAAGGTCGAGTCTGGGGAGCAGTCCCGGAGAGACGCGCTCTTGCCGGCAGAAGAGGTCCAATCCGCGACCCCCCCTCGAGGCCGGCCTGGAGCGAGGCCGCCCGGCCGAGGGGAAGCACGCGCTCTCGAGTCTGGGGAGCAGTCCCGGAGAGACGCGCTCTTGCCGGCAGAAGAGGTCCAATCCGCGACCCCCCCTCGAGGCCGGCCTGGAGCGAGGCCGCCCGGCCGAGGTGAAGCACGCGCTCGGGCCGGAAGCAGAGCCGCGCGCGGGATCCGGCCGGTCGCACTGAGGCCGCAAGTGTAGGAGCCCGAGACCTCCACGCAGCCGACCTCCGGGGGCCCCCGAGGCAAGGGCTGCGTCGGCGTGGCCGGCACAGGTGTCGTTGGGCGCCTGGACGTGGAGAGGGTGGGGTTCTGTGGCAAATACAGACGCCACGCACCTTCCAGGAGGGGAGGCTCACCCTGGAGGAGGCGGGCGTGGGTGGGTAACTGGCCGCGCCGCCAGTGGCACAGGTTTCCTGCTGACCGTGGGGAGGAGGGCTCGAGAGACATTGTTGAAGTGAGCCTTAAAGGGACAGGAAGGGGTTGGAGGAGTGGGTCACTTTTGGGGGTTGCAAGCCAGAGTTTCCGATCTCCTTTCAAGAAATGGGTTTATTGCAAATAGATACACAGATCAAGAACCCAGCAAGGCTGCACTTGGCATGCTTTTGGTCACCAGTGACAAGAGGCTTGGCTGCTGAGGCCAGACAGGCTTTGCAGAGGTGCATGCGCAGGCGGGGGGGGGGGGGGGGTCCCAGGTTAAAGGACAGGAGTAAAAGGGGCAATAACCAGATGCAGAAGTTTCATGCTCCCTAAGCTGGATTTTGAGGTCCCAGAGCTGGAGCAGTTCTGAGCTCAGCTAAGCCTGAGTGTGGGCTTGGTCCTTCAGATGGATAGCAGATTTCTCCAGAGAGAAGGGGGCAGCACAGGCACCTTCATGTTCCCTCCTTTCCAGCTCCTAACTCCTCTGCTGTTTTCCAGGAGCACCAGGTCCATGCTGCTGCTGCTGCTGCTGGGTCGAGGTCCCAAGGCCTGGCCTGGACTCCGTCAGCTCAAGTCGCTAATCCTCCCTAGGACCCCGGGAGGTGAGGCCCTGCGTGTGAGGTACCGGCTCTTGTCAAAGCAGGGCCCCGCAGAAACAGGTGGGCAGGGCCAGCCCCAGGGCCCTGGGCTGCGAACTAGACTGCTGATCACTGCCCTATTTGGTGCCGGGCTGGGTGGGGCCTGGCTGGCGGCGCGGGCTGAGAAGGAGCAGCGGCGGCAGCAACAACGGACAGAGGCACTCCGCCAGGTGGCTGTGGGTCAGGGGGACTTCAGCCTGCTGGACCAGCACGGCCAGGCTCGCTGCAAGGCTGACTTCCGAGGCCAGTGGGTGCTGCTGTACTTTGGCTTCACTCACTGCCCAGACATCTGCCCAGACGAGCTGGAGAAGCTGGTGCAGGCAGTGCGGCAGCTGGAGGCTGAGCCAGCCCTGCCCCCAGTGCAGCCCATCTTTATCACTGTGGACCCCGAACGGGACGATGTCGCAGCCATGGCCCGATACGTACAGGACTTCCACCCAAGGCTGCTGGGTCTGACTGGTTCCCCAGAGCAGATTGCACAGGTTAGCCGCAGCTACCGTGTGTACTACAGCGCTGGCCCGAAGGATGAGGACCAGGACTACATCGTGGACCACTCCATCGCCATCTACCTGCTCAACCCCGACGGCCTCTTCACCGACTACTATGGCCGGAGCAGGTCAGCTGAGCAGATTGTGAACAGCGTGCGGCAGCACATGGCCACCTTCTGCAGTGTCCTGTCCTGAGCCACCATTGCAGCCTGGACCCTGTCATTAAACGGGGTGTGTTTAATCTCTGTGTGTGATTTGTACCACCAGCTCATGGAGGTGCAGGGGCTGGGTAGCCCTTTTCTCTGCATAGAAAAGGCATTTTTGAGGGTTTATCTTTAGGGGTTGGTGGAATAACACCACCGCTTTATTAGGCTGGGCCAGCCAGGAAGCAACGATGGAGTGAGCAGGTGCACAGCTCTTCGGCACACGTGGGTTCCACACACCCTCTCCCCTGCCTCAGTGCTCCCCACTCAGGGCTGAGCCATGGAGGGGGCAGTGTAGGTCTGGAAGCGCTTGTGGGCTCGCTGGTGTGTGAGCAGTCTCAGGGACATGGTGTCCACGGCCGCCTCCAGCCCCGGCTGCTGGGTGATCTCCACTGTGTAGTCATTGGCCTGCAGGGGTGTGGCATCAGCACGGTCCAGGGACCATTTCCCCCTCCCAGGCATCCCGGGCCACTCACCAGCTGCAGGGAGGCCAGCATGGAGCGACACACCTCAAAGGCAGGCTGGCCGGCCACAAGCTCCGCAAAGGGACACCACTCGTTGAGCCGGGGGAACCGTGAAACTACCTGGTCCCCATAGGTGTGGATGTCAAAGGGCATGTGTTGCTCCTACACAGAGGAGGGGCACATTGGTGACTGGCAGGGCAAGGCCCTGGACAAGCCAGAGGCAAGCAGGAGGCTCCAGTTCTCTACCAGTGCCTGCCTCACCTGCTCCTGGAGCAGGGGCTGGATGGTGTCCTCCCAGTCCCTGATGCGCTGGCTCAGCTCTGTCTCCTGGACAAACTTCTGGGAGGTGGTGATGAAGAGCTCCTGGGAGGGAAACCAGTGAGGGATACTGCAGGGGCCTGGGACACCCCTCACCTGGCCCCCCACTCACTCTGACCCAGGCCTACCACATTTCTTCGAACCAGCTCCTCGTAACTCAGGGACGCCGGAATGGCCTCTGCATCTGGGAAAGGGGCAGCTGTGAGCAGCTGCAGCTGGGAAGCCACACCCTCCCCTGTCCTCAGCTCCAGCAGCCCTTACCTACTCCCTGGCTGGATGCCCACTCTCAGACCTACCCAGGTCATTGGTTTCCCCGGGCTTTGCCCCCTCAGGGTCCATGCACTCCTCAGACTCTAGATCATCTGCTGGGATATGGGAGAGGCCCCACAGGCAGCTGGTCAGTTAGCGGCAGGTGCTGGACATGCCCCACACCCCCAGCAGGCACCCACCTGCTGCCCCCAGATCTTCCAGGGAATCCTCCAGGTGGTCATCATCCGCAGGCCACAGCCCCTCCTCAGCCCTCTGCAGCCACCGCTCAGCCATCTGTCCAGAGAGATCCTCTATGAGAGGCACTATTGTCTCCCATCGGGGGCCCCAAGGGTTCCCAGACCATAGCCCAGCAGCCAGTATTCACCTCCCTCCTCTGAAGCTTCCGGAGGGTCTCCAGCTGCTCCCTCACGTGCTTCCAGTACAGGACCTCCATGTCTGCAGACAAGGGCCTTGTGAGGGCCTCCTTCGTCCTGCCCAGGCCCACACCAGTCCACTCAGGGCCTTAGGTGACCCCAGGCAGGACGTAGGCGTGGGGGAAGGCAGAGTAACACTGTCTTCCCTGAAAAGAGCGCACAGGACCCCAGCCTCACCTGCAAAGGACGGGCCCTTTCGCCGTGGCCGCCTGCTGTCAGCATGATCAGCGTCTGCAGGAGAACTCAGTCAGCAGGAACCAAGCCAAGGCCCCAACCTGCCCACAGACTGAGGGCTGCTCATAGCATTGGAGAGGTGCTGAGCCTCCTCCACTGGCGCTGACCTGGCCCTGGCTCAGCCCACCACCCCCACTCACAGGCGGCCAGGTACCACTGGTGGAAGTCCTGCAGCTTGGTGGCACCCTTCCTCTTGCGCTTCTGTCCTGGAGCATCCTCCACACACGGGGGCACAGAGTAGGGCCTACCTGGGGGCAGACAGGGACTGTCTCAGCAGCTGTGGGATCAGGGTACGGAGCCTACCCCCACCCCACTACCACATGCCCTAGCAAACCCAGCCAAGGGTGTCTGAGTGGAGGTGTCCCCACCCAGTTACCTTTCTTGAAAGGCTTAGAGTCTAGGGAATCGAAGGGGTCCAGGCTCTGCCAGGGGTCTGGGGTCTCCTGAACAGAGAGCACAAGCAAATGCTGGGGGTAGCAGGGGGTACACACTCTCCCTTCCCAGAGCCCAGACACCAAGTGCAGTGACAGCCCAGAGAGGGCTGGCCACACTCAACGCAGGATCACAGTGAGCAGCATGCAGGGAAGGGAAGGGCCCAGAGCCATGGAAGGAAACTCCAACTTCTGGGAGGACCTCGCAAAACAGAGCAAGTGCCCAAAGGGCCCAAGATTGGGAGCTCCAGCATGAAGGCACCAAGGCCAGCAGGAGCAGAGGCCTGGCGGGCATCTGCACGGTCCTCACACACGCCCTCCCTGCAGGGGTCGGGCCCTGATGCCCCTCACCTTTGGCAGGGACACAGGCTCTGGGGCGCCCACTCGCTCCCGCAGCATGTACTTCCTTGGCAGGGCGGCACTCTGCAAAGAACCATCCCAGAGGAAAGTCGTCTCTCCTACCCCTTCTCCATCCAGGTTCTGGGCACCCCCGAGCAGCTCTGCCCAGGGTCAACGTTAAAAACCCTGCAGGGACCCTCTTTGGAGACAGGAAGTTCAAATAGTTCAAGAAATAAAAAGTAAAAACCCTAAGAAAAATTTCAGAACATAAGAGAGTGCTACAAAAAAGTTTGTGGGAGAGCCGGTCCCGTGCCTCACTCTGAAGAGTGCGGTGCTGATAGCGCCAAGGCCGCGGGTTCGGATCCTATACAGGGATGGTCAGCTCGCTCACTGGCTGAGCGTGGTGCTGACAACACCAAGCCAAGGGTTACGATCCCCTTGCCGGTCACAAAAAAAAAAAAAAAAAAAAAAATTTGGGGGAAAAAAAAATTAAAAAACAGGGCAAATCTTGCCATGAACTTTTAAAATTATCCTCGTGTACACAAACTAGTGGTCATGGGATAATTTTTCTTTAAAAATATGAAAAAAGAATAAAATATGAAAAACATCCATGTTATCCACCAGCCAGAATTAAGAAATGTTAACATTTTCTCCTGTATGCATCAGGCTGGTTTTTAAAAAATAGGTTAAAAAGGATTTCTTATCTCTAGGGTGTACAAAGTGAACCCTTGGGGGTTGGAGGCAGGCAGCAGAGGCCTCCAGACATGCCCTCTTCTACCAGCCCCACCGCAGAAGGGCCAGTGGCCATCCCAGGTAGCCATGAGCTGCCTAGGGCCCAGACCCCTGAGTGCCAGCCCACCCCCAAGGAGCAGTAGCTGCTCTGCCCAGGGGAAACTGCCATCCAGAAGGCTGGCTGAAGGACAGCCTGGCTTCTGGGCAGAGCCCCCACTGGCCTGATGTGCAAACACCAGAGAGGAAGAGCAGAAAATAATGGCCTGGGAGCCAAGGCCACAGCACTGGCCTCCCCATAAGGGTGATTCTGCCCCACTGCCAGGGCTCGCCCGGTTAACAACAGCTCAAGCTCTGCAGGACTCAGCGTGGGCCCCACCTGCTGTGGGCTCCTGGGCTCCTCCGGCTCCAGCAGGGCCTGGGGGGCTGTGGCCTCGGGGAGCTCTACCGCCTCCTCTGCGTCCTCATCCTCACCCCTCCCGCTGGGCATTGGGCCTTCTGGAGAGATGCCTAGGCAGGGAAAAGAGCAGATGGCAGATGGGGGACTGCCCCCATGGGGTGAGGGGCCAGGCTGCCCTTGGCTGACACCAAAGAGAACCTGACAGGCCACTCCCTCTTCTCAGTTTCATTCATTAGAACACGGAAAATTCAATGGGCGTCTTAGGCTCTCTTCTTTACACTGATGTGTTTTGTTTGGCTCATTTTATTTCATAGCAAATGTGTCTGCCTGGAGAGGAGGCCGGGAGAGTGATCAGAGGGCAGTCACTGAACCAAGATGGGCCAAGGCCTGGGCGCAGGAGAGCCAGCTCCAACGTGTGGCTACTCCCCACTCTGTGTCAACCCATGACAGGCCGTGGAGGAGCTGAGCAGGCAGGGCAGGCCGGGACAGCTGAGTAGCCCCATTCAGAGCCTTGTCCACCAAGTTCTGCCTCCCTGGTTCCACCACAGAGCTCTCTTCTCACCTGGTTCCTGGGAGAAGCCGAGCATAGGGTCAGGACTCCTGCACCCAGATACTTCCATTGGCTGCTCTGCAGCCCTCCTGGTGCCTGAAAGAGACAGGGATTGGACAGGATCAGCTCAGCCCCTCCCCCGGAAGGTCCCCACCGAGTGTCCAAGGAGCCCCTCCAAGGGGCCAGCACAGGGACAGAGCTCAGCAGGGACCAGGCCTCAGAGCAGAGCCCAGGGCTAGGCATCAGGACCAGAACTACAACCAGCTATGACCTCGTCAACTTGCAATCAAGGCACAGCAAAGACGGGATGGGGGTGAGCTCCAGCCAACCTGTAAGAGCAGAGTGGGCACCTAGGGAGGGGGAGCTCCCAAGACCAGAGTCATCAGGCATAAGAATCCACCCCGGAAGACCCTCTATTCCCTCCTCCTGCCAAGCCCCCCAAGCCCCCCACATCCAAGCCCTCACCTTGCTGGTTCCTTGGCATGGGGCACATGCCCACCGGCTCTGTGGGGGACATTCCTACCGGCTCCAACATGAATGCCCCTCTGGGGTGGGCGGTGGACGTATTCATCCTGAAGTCCTTCCGGCTGGCCAGGATCTCGCCCTGACAGCTGTGCCAGCAAAAACATGCCTGCTGTAGAGACGCTGCCCAGGCAGCCTCCCTGCCCCACGCTGGGCTCAGGCCTGTACCTGTACAGGGGGTTGTTGTTCTTCTCCATCTCGTCAGGGGCTACCAGGGCCATGGGCAGGAGAGGGATGATGAGGAACTCCTGCATGGGGGCCGAGGGTGGGTGAGGTGTGCGTCCTCGAGCTCCAGGCAGGGAACCCACACGAGGCAACACCACCTTCCAATGCCCGGCCAGCTAAACACAACCCCAAGGAGAGTGCTGATCCTCCCCAACCGAAAAGGGGCCAGGACACTCACACTAGGCGCTTGGCCGTTCTTCAAATCCACGTTAACGCGGGAGTTGGGGAAGTCGTCCAGCGACAGGAACTGTGGAGACAAGCAGGAGCTCGAGGGAGCAGAATCCAGGCAGCACACAGTAGGCGGGGGCCACGTGCCCACAACAACTCACCTCATCCTCTGCCTCCAGGGGGGCCTCAGAGCTGCCATTTCCATTGGCCCTGTCCTCCTGCACCGAAGAGAGCTGCTTGGCCCGCCTGAGAGAAAGGAGCATCCCATGGGTGTCCCAGAAGGTGGCAGGGCCTCCCGAGCCACACACAGGTGGAATTGTGTGGATGAGGATCCCGCCTCCTGGCTCACACCCTCTGTACTCACCTCTTGCCAGAGATGAAATCGAGAGCCTGGTAGACCAGTGAGTACAGGTATTCCACCTGGTGACGAGGAGCAGGCAGTGAGGACACAGAAAGAAGGGGCCCACCCCAGTGGCCTGTAGCTGCCCTCTGAGACCTCCCCAACAAGACGTCGTGTATGCCAAGAAGCCTGGCCAGCACCTCCAAACCTCTAGCACAAGTCCTGCCAATTTTGCTGCCAAAGATAATTCTCAAATCAAACTAGTAGTCACATAAGAATTATTCCAGCAGCTGAGGCTGCCAACTTCTCCTCTGCTCTGCCCCCATACTCCATGCAGCAAGCGTGGCCTTCTCAAGCATGGCACCGCTCCCCAGTGCCTATGTCCCTGCTACTCCTGCCAGGGCCCCCACACTGGCACCTCCTCAAGTCCTGGCCTGCCACAGGAACCACTGAGTCTCTGAAGGCCCCAGCACATCTCCAGCCACTGCAGGGCTGCATGACTCCTCCATATACCGAAGGTCCCACCATTAGGATGAGGTCTGGGGATGTTCAAGATGCTGACCAGCAAGGGGTAGGGGAAGGGCAGAGTGTATCCCTGTGCCACCTCCAGGTATATTCCCTGTGGGACGACAGAGCCCACAGCACACATAGCCTTCCTCCTGGCTGTGCCACTTCAAATCCAAGTTTGTTCTTTGGTGTTAAAAGTTGTCAAGGATCAGGCCGGCCCGTGGCTCACTCGGGAGAGTGCGGTGCTGATAACACCAAGGCCACGGGTTCAGATCCCTGTATAGGGATGGCTGGTTGGCTCACTGGGTGAACGTGGTGCTGACAACATCAAGTCAAGGATTAAGATCCCCTTACCGGCCATCTTTGTAGAAAAAAAAAAGTTGTCAAGGGTCAGCGGATGCAGCTTGAGGCACTGGTGAGGCAGGTCACAGACAGGACAAGCACTGCCACCTGCCCCAGCAGGACAGCCAACTGAAGTCCCGCTCACCACCAAAACGCCAAGGCCAGCGGCCAGGCAGGACCCACCTTCTTACTGTAGACACAGGCCGAGCCCTGGATCAACAGTGCCGCCTCGACGAAGTTCATTGTCGTTTTGCCTTCATCAAAAGAAATGCAGATCTGGTCCAGCTGCAAGAAACAACACGGGAAGGGGGAGCCAAAGCCCAGTCTGCAGTCACTTCTTCCTGGGGCAACCCTGCCTGCTTCTGCCTCTGGCAGGGCCACCGCAGAGTAGCCCCTCAGACGCTCCAGCTCTGCTTTGGGCTCACCAGCTGTCCCGTTTTTTTTTGGAGACGAGAGACAGGTCTTTGTGATTCCCCCTACTTCCTGTAACCTCTGACACCGAGTGTTTTGGAAGAGGGAAGCCCCCAGAGTACACTGTCCACAAATGGCCAGAGCCACACAACAGCTCCCTTTGCAAGGCGCTGGAGGCACTCTACACCACGCCCATCCAAGTCAGGGTTAACTCTGACAGACTCCAGCAGGAAGACCCCTCACCCTGGGAGAAGGAAAAAGAACCTCAGAGGTGGGGACGATGGATGCAAAATGCTGGTTCTCCATCCCTTGAGCAGAGAAGTCAGGAAACAGTTCCCAGTGAGTCACCCTCCTTCCTCCACAAGCCCAGCTCCTCTGTCACCCATTGGACATCAGTGTCCTAGGGGCTCCACCCTTGGCCTCTCTTCCCCCCAAGGCACACCCTCTGCATGTGCACTCATCACTCCCACGCCCAACCTGGCAGCCAAATGCTGACAATTCGCATACCCATCTCTAGTCCAGCTCTCTCATGAGCTCCCACACTCACAGCACACATTGAGTATCTCCACAGAGCCATCCAAGTGTCCCCACACATTTTACCTCCACACTTTACCCAGGATCTTACCCACAAAGCTGGCCCCTCTGCTGCCTTGCCCTCAGCAGATGACACTTTGAATCTCCTTCCCACATTTCCCAGCTCTTTGGTTTTGCTTTCACACCTGCCTGGAACACCTGCTCCAACTGTCCCCAGTGCAGAATCCCCTGCTGTCTCCCTCGATGCCCAGAGCCTCCTCGCCACCCCATTAGCATGACCTTGTTGCAGTGTTTTCGAGTCTCTCCTCCCCCAGTGGACTATGAGCAGCAGTAGGGCAATTCTAGCCTTTAGTTCAGTGCTTGCCGCTGGTGTCCAATAAATATTAGAAGAATAAGTGAAACAGAAACACCAGAGCTAACCTTGAGAAATGGACAGAAGCTCGGCAGGCAGATGAAAGGAACAGCATTCTAGAAAGAGTGATGACCTGTGTGATGGAGTTTGGATGTGTTGTACCCGCAAAACTCGTGTGGAAATCTGATCCCCAATGTGGCAGTGCTGGGAGCTGTTTGAGTCCTGGGGGCGGATCCCTCATGAATGGATTAATGCTCACCCTGGGGGGTGGGGGTACTAAGTTCTCACTCTGTTAGTTCTCGTGAGAGTAGGTTGTTTAAAAGACCCTGGCACCTCCTCTCTCTCTCTTGCTTCCTCTCGCCATGTCATCTGCTTGTACCTGCCGGCTCCCTGCCACTTTCCGCCAGGAGCAGAAGAAGCCTGAGGCCCGTGCCAGATGCAGCTGTCCCAGAATCATGAGCCAAATAAACTTCTGTTCTTTATAAATTACTCAGTCTCAGGTGTTCTGTTACCGCAACACAAAAACAAACTGATACACCATGCAAAGGCAGCGGACAAGATACAACTGTTCGGGTAAATGAACATTATATAAACATGGCCAAAGTGTAGAGTATGCTGGGGAGAGGCGAGGTTTTAGGCCCGATGGTAGCAAAAAGGGGAGAGTCTGCAAACAGGTCCCCAAGGCGATCCACTTCCATTAATAATAATTCTCTTTTTGGCAGCTGGCCAGTACAGGAATTGAACCCTTGACCACGTTTTAGCGAACTGAGCTAACTGGCCAGCCTTGTTAATTCTTGAAAGATAAAGGGAGTTTGCTGGTAAGCAAGGGAGGGAGAGGCGACAGGAGCACGGCTGTCTGCGGAAATGTGAGGAGGTGGGGAGTGTCAAGACATGAAGAGCTCAGCCTGAAAAAAGGGGAGGCGAAGAAGTGGGTGGCCCGGAAGCAAGGCCGCAGAGGGGGCCTTCCCTTCAATGACCCTCGGTCCAGCTGGCCCACCTGCTCCCGGGACCTACACTCCATCTAACTTCTTACAACTACAGGTTGGACCTCCCAACTCAGCACAAACCTGTGTGTCCAACTGCCTTCTTCAGTTGGCCCACCTCAGAATCTTCAAACACCATGTTTCCTCTGCCTAGAATATTCTTCAGCTCACTATGACTAGGAAACACCATTCATCCCAAACAAAATTAGGTCCCCCAAACTCTTCACAGAACCCTAAACTTTTTTTTTTTTTTTTCCTTTTTGTCTTTTTTCATGTCCGGCAACGGACCGCAACCCTCAGTGTCGCGCCCGCACCGGACCGGGACCGGCAACGGGATCGCAACCCTCGGCGCTGCGCCCGCCCCTCGCTCAGCCAGTGAGTGGGAACCGGTCTGTATGTGGGATCCGAACCCTCGGCGGGAGCGCCACCGCGCTCCCAAGCGGGGCACTGTAGCAGTGCGCCACCGGGCCCGGCCCAGAACCTTAAACTTTTTTGACAAAGCTTTCATAGGTTTGGGACTAGTCAAGGACACACGTGGTAGTGCAGGTGGGACTCTGCTCTGGCACCTGTCAGCTGTGACTCTGGCACAATACTTAACCTCTCTAAATGCCCATGCTAATAGTTTTTGAGAGGATTACAGGAACGTATGTATGTAAAGCACACAAGACAGTGCTTGGCACAAGTAGGCACCAGATGCATATTATTTATTACAACTCTACACAGTTACTGCCTTGGGATCCATCTTCCCATGTCCTAATGAAAGCAGGATTTTTGTTTGCTTTGCTCACCATCATTTTCTCAGAGTTTAATGTTGTTCTTGGCACACAACAGACACTCAACAACCGTGAGTAAATAAATGGATGAAAGCAGACAGTGTCATAAGACACGTTAGAAAAAGAACATTTGGGGAGCTGTGTGGAAAACGAAAGGAGGAGAATGACAAAACCAGAGGACGGGACATCAGGACTTCGGGGGACAGAGAAAGTTCAGAAGAGCAGACATACAAAGCAGGAGGGGAGCAGACCAAGCCAGGCAGTAGACTCAGCAGGTGTCCCTAAGGACCCTGGTCAATGTGGAAACTCGAATCCACAATAGCTCCACCCAGCACAGTTCTCTGCATTTTCTCAGCAGACCATGCATAGGAGCAAAGAAGGTCTATCATCAGACTCCACGTTCATTTAACAAACGTTTATTCCACACCCACTATGTGCTGGGCACTCTACTAAGCTGAGGAAAGAAAACATAAATGTGGCCCCTGACCTTGCAGAATTTACATTCTAGGTGGAGACAGACCACAAACAAGTTAACTAAATTGAAGAATGGCTTGTAATAAACATTCTGAAGTGCATAAAGTGCTGTAACAGAGAGAACTGTTTTAGATGGGGTGGTCAGCTGACATTTCAGCCAAGACCTAAAGGAAGAAAAAGACTTAGTCACAAAAAGAAGAAGATTCTCTAGTGGAAGCAGAAAGTGAAAGAACCTCAGCCAAGAACAAGCTTAGGATGCTGCAGGTTGACTGGTTCAAAAGAACAAAGTAGAGAACAGCCCAAGATGAGGCTAACAGGGTGAACAGGCCGGATTCGAGGAGGAAGTTTGGATTTTATTCTAAATGCAATGAAAAGTCACTGAGGGGTTTTAGGCAGGGCAGTGCTGTGGACTGGGTTTTAACTTTTAAGAGTCACACTTGCTGCTGAGTGGAGCACGGACTGGACAGAGACAAAAACTCAGGAAGGGAGCCAAGGTAGTAAGGTTTTACACAAATCCAGGCCAGAGATGATAGTGGCCTGGACCAGAGAAAATGGAAAACGGCTGAATTCAAGTGACATTCTCGTTGTATAACTGATAGAATTCATGGGTGAACTAGGTGTTGAGTGTGGCGCTTCACTACAAAAGCTTTTGCCTTTGGTTGAACAGTGGTGCCATTTACCGAGATGGTGGAGACAGGGGTTTGACTGGAAAAACCAAGAGTCCCACTTGCAATACATTAAGTCTGAGCTGCTTCGGTAACATCCTAGTGGATGTCGAGAGCATCTGGATACATAAAAATAGAATTAGAGGAGAGATTTGGGATAGAGGTATAAATCTGGGAGTTGTCCTCATACAGGTGATGTTTAAAATCATGCAAATAAATGAGATTGTTTAGGAGAAACGTGTCGGAAGATGACCTAGGCCCTGCCCCGACAAGTTCAATACTTAGAGACTGAATAGGAGAGAAAAGCGGGCAGTGACATAGGAAGAAAATCATACCACCACTGTTTCAAAAAGGAGGGAGTGGTCAACCCAACAAATGCTGCTGAGTCAAGCAGGATGACACTTCTAGTGTCCCTTGATTTGGTAGCATGGAGGCCACCATTGATCAAGACAACAAAAGTTTAAGTGTGGTGGGAGCCAGACTGCACTGGGCTGAGGAGGGGAAATGAAGCACAGAAACGAGCAGATTGCTTCTTAACAGAGGTCCGGACGCGGCTGTCAACAGGCAAGAAGGATTAAATGCAGACAGGATGGAGCATGTCAGTAGCTTGAAACTGGCTTGAAAACCCAGGATAAGAAATCCCTCTCACATCGTGGTCCCGATCTCTCAAACACGCCAATGTGCACACAATAACGAAAACGGAAAAAACGCTCTCTGGTCTATTCCATCACATTAGAGAAAAATGCTGGCCACCCGCTAAACCGATTTCAGGGCTCATTAACGGGTGGAGACCTGCAATGACAGCTCCAGGCTACCGTCACAGGGGATAATTTGGGGAGGCAGGAATGGAGTTGACAAAAAAGGAGCAAGCGTGAGGACGAGCACAGCCAGAGCGCCAAACGCCACAAACGCGGAGGCGGAGGGGCCGCCCGCAGTCCCCGCCGTCCTCACCTCCTCCAGATACTCGCCCAGCTGGGCCGCCACGTCCACCTCCCAGTTCTTGGTGAGGTCGCGGATGGGCTGCAAGAGGTGGGCGAAGCGCGCCTCCACGTCCTCCATGTCCGGGAGGGGCCAGACGGCCGGCGACCGCAGGGCCGACTTCCCAGGGGTACGGCGTCCTCAGCCCGCCACTGGCCCTGGCGCCATTTTGCTGTTCCCGCCCAGGAAAGTGCGCAGCGCCCGGCGCCGCGCGCATGGCTTTGACGTAAGGCGGGCCGAAGCCTGCAGACGGAAGCGCACCGGAAACGCCGCGGAGCGGGGGGGCGTGGCCTGCTTTGGGCGTGGCCAGAGCGCGGTGGGCGTGGCCATAAGCGAGTGGGATTCGCGACTGCCGCACGCAGGGCGTGACGGGACCGGCCTCGGGGCGGGGCCCGCTTGGTGGGCGGGGCCAACTGCCGCGGGG